TATTTTTTTCAAATTTTAATTAATGAATGTTATCTTAATAAAAATTATACATAAAGAAAATAATGTAATGAATAATGAATGTATGCAAAATGTATGTATGCAAAAGGTATTGATCCCAAAAAGTTAACTGTCATAGAACAACTTTCATCAGCATACAAAAGTTTTTTTATAATAGTTCATAACTACAAATACGACGTAGCTTTCCTATTAAGCTCTATAATTTCTTTCATTAACCAGGACATCTTCTTTCCAAACTTGGAAACTGGATCAACGTGATGCTCAATAATCTTTTCTTCAACAGCTAACTCCCCAATATATCTGGCAACTTCGCTCATTTGTACCATGGCCTCGAATACCATATTGCTTCTTTCTTCACTTCTTTCTACATAGAAATCAGACGATTTTTGCCATTGTTCATTAGTTCCCTCGGAGTCTGCTCTAATTCAGTGATTCTGATTTGACAACTGTGTAGAGTTTTTTCCAGATCTCGGATTCGTCTTCGTAGTGAAGCGTTCTCCTCATAACTTTCTTTAAGATCACTAGGTCCTAGACGGACCTTTTCTTGAAATAATGACTCTTCAAGTTGCAAGATGTAAGCATTAAACTCTGAATTTTTGTTTCTAGACTGATCCAGATCTTCTTCAAGTTTTGTTCGTGCTTCTTGCGGCCTTTGACTAAGCTTTTGGATTTGAACATTCTTATTTCTGCATCTTTGCATCCAATTTCTAGCCACTTCTTTCTCTACTTCAAGTCTGGTGTTGAAATTCTTTTTCTCCAATTCCCATTTTTCTTTTTCAACATCGAACTCTTCAATCCTTTGGCCCCTGACTTCAAGTTCGGTAATCATATTGCTCATTTCAGATTCAAATCCTTTGAACATGATATTTTTCTCACCTTCAAAATTCTCAAGCATGTCGTTCTTCATCTCTTCTAGTTCTTTGGCTCGATCCCTTTCTCTCTGCATTTCATTCATGATCTCGCGGCTTTCATCTTTGTGCTTTATGATTCGCTCCCTTCTGTCAACTTCAAAATCCTCCATTTTTTGCTTTCATTTCTCAAGGTTTTTGAGTAGACGGCTATTCTTTCCTTTCAAATCTTCAACTCGGCTTTTCTCAATGTTCAATTCTTTGGTCATCTGTACTATTGATCTGCTCGGTCCTGATGCTTTCCGGGATTTGTATAGCTCCTGGTAATTTTTCTTTAACGTTCTGAATTCACCATCAAATTTTTCTTTGTTTTCTGTCAACATTGCACATTGTGCTGAATGAAAGTAAATGTCAACACCCAACATAGCTTTATCTTGTCTCATTTGCTCTAATTCTCTCGACCAACCTTCTCTTTCTGCTGCAAACTCAGCTCTCAGGATTTCAATCTCTGATGGAACCACCTTATTGCGATCTTCCATAGAGATATCCTCATTTTGGTCTGGTAGAGGGATATTATCATTTTTCCTGACAGATCTCCATTCCTCATAATCGGGAGTTAACATTTCTTTTGCTGCTTTAGCTCGAATACAAAAAGTTGTTTTCCAAACTATAAAGGCCTCCATGATATTTCTTTTATAATTTTTGCTGTGGAATGCGAACTCAGACGAATATAATCCAGTAGTGACGGGAACAAATTGACGACCTTCATACTGCCTTATGACCATAAGTGGTGCATATCCGATTCCTCCCCACAATCCGAGCAGCATCACCCAGTTGTAATCACCACATTTGTAAAAGAATTCCCTTTGGATCTGCCATGGGGCTCGCCAAACAATGTCATCACTTTGCAGATTTCGAAAGGCATTGATCCACATATCTTTCGTAATTTCTTTCGGCCATTCTTGCTCCAGAAATTCTTTTAATGGTGAGTAGTCCGTATTAAAGCACCGATATGAAACCTTTTCTATTCTCCAAAAATGGCTACGGATCCAGACATATAATAATTGGACACATCCTGAGAATCGTCCACCTCCAAGCCTTCTGCAAGCGTTTAACGATCTGAAAGTCTCTGCTAGAATTGCAGAAGCATGATTGACCCTTTTTGGTAGCTGCTCAAACAAATCTACTACAGTAGCTTCGATATATCCCAATACTTTCGGGAAGATGACCATACCATATATACCCAGAGCAAAGAGATCGAATCGTACTTTATCATCTGGATGACTCTGAATAAGTTATTTAATGTTGGTCCAAGCAATGCCTTCGCTTTCGCCCTTTTGTTTTGTACCGGATACCACCCATTCTTCTCGTACTCCTACAATCTTTGCTAATTTAACTCGAAAGGTTGAGTTTTAACTGACCTTGAATAAATTCGATTTTCCAAGGCCCCTTCTATATGTAGCAAAGTTGTGTACTCTTCAATAGTAGGAACCAAGTCCTCTTTATTGAAAGTGAAACAATTATAATCAGGATTCCAGAATTGAAACAGGACTCGAAGCAAGTCATTATCAACTTCTACATAGAGAAATATGGGATGTCCCCGTAAGTTTGATAAAACTGTAACTTTTTGTTTGAGTCTCAACTCTCCCAAATGCCTCGCAAATCTTGCATATCATTTCTTTTTAGAGAAACTGGAGCATAACTGGCTAACTCAGATACATAGTCATCTTGCAGACTGTCTCCCCCTTGTCTTTGTAAGTTCTCAGCCCACTGTCTTACTTTTGAGTTTGAAACTATTTGATTTGAACACTTTTTATCCATACATGAAGGTTTTCCAATGAGACGATTAACACGAAGATCAATACCTTTAATCCTGTATGATGATATGCAAAAATAACAGAACACATAAAAAGAAATGAATTAGTTCATATAATAAAGAAGTAAAAATTAATTTAATAACATCTATCCAAATATTTCTAATTAAACATGCTTTCTTCATAGCATAATTTAAATTTACATGCAATTTATTCATCAAGAAAATAAATAAATAAATTAAAAGGAAAATGTTAGAAATCATTTCTCCTTTGTGTACACCTATTTTGGACAAAATTTCGACATGGCTTTAGATCAGAAGGGTTTCTAAGATTTACTATATGTAGAGTTTCAGTTCTAAGAGTAAAGGTACCCGAATTGTCCTTGTTAGTACCCCCTTGGGTTGCTAACCCTCAATCCTAGTCCATCACAGACTAAAATGGATCGAGTTCAATTCGAGGGGATACACTTCTCTATGTCTGACACGGAGAATAAATTCTCACGAAGACATAGAGCATATGAACCCCGAAAGCTACTTGCTAGGTCTGACACGGAGAATAAATTCTCACGAAGACGTCGCTTTCACTCCCACTTAAAAAGGGACAAGCTTAATTAAAAAGCTTATGTTATGCAATGCATGTGTTGTGTGAGAGGAGAAATGTTCAAACATCTGACAGAAAAAATAAATAATGGAATAAAATAAAATGAAATATTGATAATATACATATAAATATTATGAAAATAATAAGTATAAATTTTTTTTGAAAGAAATAATTAAAAATTAAAATTAAAAATATAAATTTCTAATTTCTAATTAATAGAGACAATTTGTAATTGATTTTAAAGTTTGACCAAGGTCCCCAGCGGAGTCGCCAAGCTGTCGTAACCGGTTTTCGCCCGGGCACGAAATTTTTATTTGGCAAGGAAAATAATGTGGATAAAAAATGATTTTGATTTAAAAAATGTTTTGAAGTCGCCATCGACTTTTTTGGATTAGGTAGGTTAAATACCTAAAATAATCTTTTAAAATAGTTTTGAATAAAACATAATTTAAAAGATAAACTGATTTGCTTATAACCAAAAATTTGTTCTTTTTAATAATAAAAAGGGATTCGTAGTCGATTACTTTTGGGGAAGGATTAGCACCCCCACAACGCCCAAAATTAGTACTTTATTAATTATAAATTGTCTCTATTATTAGAAATTTAAAAATTTAAAAATATATTTAATTTATAATATTGTTATTTCAAATTTATTAGTATCTTTAATAAAATCTATTAATTTATATATAAATAAGATATTTATTTATTAATAAATATCAGAAAATGACTTCTAGGTGCCTTAAGACAGCTATTTTCTTCGATATTAAAAAATAAATAAATATTAATAAAACATTTTTTTAAAACATAGATTAATATATAATTTATAAAAATAAGATATTTATTTAATATATATAAAATAAATAAAAACATATTATTTAATATATATTTATATGAATAAATAATAATACTTAAAAATAATAATTAAATATATTGAAAATAAACATATAAAATTAAAATAATAAATTAAATTAAAATATAAATAAATAGTGACTAAAATAAATAAAATTAAAACTATAGTAGTAAAATATAAAATTTATAAATAAAATAAATGAAAATATTAAACTTAATGACTAAATTATAATATATTAAAATTTAATAACCTAATTCGTAATTAATTATTTAATATTACAGGGGCTAAGCATGCTATTATACCTATTATTAATTTAGTGACTAAAATAAATTTATACCAAATTTGAATGTTAAATTAAAATAAATTAAAACATGCTTCCGGGATTAAAATATTAATTAATAAAGTTACGAGGGCTAAATCGGTTATTTTAACTAAAATATTTATATAAACATATTAGTGACTAAATTATAAAGTAAATAAAATTAGAAGACCAAATTAAAACGTTTAGAATTTGATTTCAGTGACTAAAATAGAATGTTACAAAACTAAGATGGTTGTGGAAAGGGTTTGGCCAAACGTGAAATTACGAATATACCCTTCCCCAAAACGACGTCGTTTGAGAATGGGTATAAATTCCCCAAACGTCTGGCCCTTCGGGCCAGCACTCTCATTTATCTTCTCTCTCTAACTGAGAGAGAAGAAAACTCTCTCGCTTCTCTCTAGCTTCCCTCACCGGAGGGAAGCCGGTTATAGGCTGGCAGCCGTCTGCCGCCACCGTCCCTACGCCGGCCACCGGATGCGGTGGCCAGAAAATTTTATTTTATACCAAAACGTAGATCAGACCGTCCTAATGACGGTTCCGGTGACCGTTTTTCTTAAAAAGCTCCCGATCGGAGCAAATCTATGAAAATACCTTCGGGCTTTGGTTGTTTCTGGCGACGGTTGCTTTTCTCGGCGGTAAGACTCTCAACTTCTTCTCCTTTTTTTCGGTTTGGTATTATCTGGGATCTTTGGTGTAAATGTTTGCTATCTCTCTCTTTTTTTTCTTTGGTTGCTTCCTGTTCTTGCTTGTTCTCCCTCTGTCGTCTGGTCTTTTTTGTTTGCAGGTGAACCGAGGCTTTATAGCCTCGTCGAGACGTTCATCGGACCGGGTAATGGAATGGCCCTCGGTGAGTCACCGAACTATGGTGGTGACTCACCATAGGGTAGCAACGTGGATGGCTCGGTGGTGCTTCTGGAGGCTTCTTTGAGGGCGGCGGCAGCTGGAACGTCGACGTGGGGCGACTGGAGACAGAGGCGGCGCCGCGTGGTCCCTAGGGTATCATAACCCGAGGGTTTCTTGTTGGAGAGCTTTGGACCGTTGGATCTTGCCAGATCCAACGGTGGAGATCGTTGGCGGCTGGCTAAGATGATGGAAACCCTAGAAGGGTTCTGCTGGGCCTGGTCGGGTTGGGCTCCGGTCTGTTTGTAAATTGGGTTAGGTTTATTTGTAATTGGGCTCCGGGTTTTGGGCCTGTAATGTATTAAAATTAATTAACTATTTAATAATAATAATATGATATAATAATAAATCAAAATAATAATAATAAATAAAACAAATGAAATAAAAACTAGTGTCTTCATAATCCATCCCTTATTTGGCGTAGTGTTTGGAGTGCTTGAGGCCTATTAGATGATGGACTTCAGTGGAAGATTGGTACGGGGATATTTGTATCGATTTGGAAAGATTTTTGGCTGCTGACATCTAAACCAAGAAGGGTTCTATCACCTGAAGTTGATTGTGTTGAATTTGTTGAGAAATTAATGATCCCGAACCAAGGTAAATGGAACGAGAACCTGATCCATTCTATTTTCACTCTCGCTGAGGCTATGCAAATTATAGATATTCCTCTGGCCCAGTCTAAACTAGAGGACGTTTGTACCTGGCGGTGAGAAAACAGGGATTAATACAGTAAAAAGTGGTTATAATTTCTTATTGGCTGCCTCATCTTTAGAGTCTACTTCTAAGAGATGTCTTAAGGCGAAGTGGAATGTGGCGTGTCCTTCCAAAGTGAGGATTCTAATGTCGAAATATTTTTGAATTTTATTCCATGCTATCAGCTTTTGCATTTTTAACGAATTGCTAATAATCCATTTTGCCCTCGGCTCGTGTCACACGTGGAGTCAACAGTGCATGTGAGTCAAAAAAAATTGCGAGAAATGTTTGGCTTGGCCAAGGTTTCTCTTAGTCCAATGAGGTTAATGCGATGAATATGCAAGAATGGCTAACGTGGTGTTTGCATAAAAGTTAACTGATCCTATTCTCATATATAATGGGATAAAGAGATGTAGGACCACTAGATTGAGAGTAGCATTCGGAGACATCCGAAAATTATAATTAGTGGGCTCTATGCTCTATGGTGGTAAACAATTACAACAAGTATGCCTCACCATCTGGGCTCTATGGTATTCTTGAAACCGTTTGGTGCACGAAAATAAAATCCAGCAATCAGAGGAAGCAATTACCTTTGTATTAGGCTATGCAACAGAATTGGGGTCTCTCATTTCATCTCTATCTCACCCAAATCCGCAAGAATCCATACCCTAGTCCTCACCCCCTGCAAACCTGGTCAAGGTGAATGTGGATGCCAGTTACCTTCAGCAAAATGAAAGGGCCACTTCAGGAATTATTATCAGGGACAACCTTGGTTATGTGGAAGGAGCTTGTTGTCGATTCACTCACCAGTTAGATCGCCTTTTGAAGCGAAGGCTTTTGCTTTCTTGCATGGTCTACACTTCGCTGCGAAAATGGGTTTTATGAAGATAGTGTTGGAAGGGGATGCTTGATCTGTTGTTCAGCGGATCAACTCTCCAGCGGTTTATCTCTCCGAAATTCGACATGTTATCGCAAACATCAAAAACAAAATTAGCTCTTTCCATTCTTGCCTGGTTTCTTTTTCTCACCAAGTGGAAATCAATCGGCTCATGCACTAGCAAAATTGGGGCAATCCAAACAAACTGACCTGTATTGGGAGGAGGAGGTACCGGAGGAAGCTCGCGATGCTGCTGATCGGGACTGTCGCAACCTGGACCCGCCATGACCGTTTGATCCGTTCTGCGTTTGATGATAAGGGTGTTTTTTACTACTCTCTCCCTTATCTTAGTTCTCTGCTCCGTTGGCTTCAAGTGACTCTTTTGGTTGAGCAGAGATTTACGCCGTCTCCTGAGTTGCTTTTCTTTTCTTCAAGTGCATTTACTTTTTTGAAGTCTCTCTGCCTTCGGTTTCTTTTTGTTTTTTGCTCTACTCTTTTGTGTTTTCAAGTGGTGGACAACTTATTTATTTGTCTTTATTTTGTTCTTAATTAAAGCTCAACGACAGTATATTATAAAAAAATGGACATTATCAATGATTTCGATAGCTTAAACATTGAATTATTTTTTTTTACTAATTTTGTTTAATTAAGCTAATTTTTAGTTCGTTTTTTCAATATCTTTTTTTATGTTTTTTTCATATGTTCCAATTATTTCATATCCTCTCACCAATAAAACTTGAATAAGTCCAAAAGTCGGCCTAAAAGCAAACAGTGTACTTAATAGGTCCTCTCGACATTCAACTAATCTTATAAAGTCATAGGGTGAGAAGGACGCCAAGTATATTGGGGCCTTTTCACTCCTCTCCAAAAGGAAATATGAGAACCTAGATTCTACCTCTCCCTCTTGATGTAATTATTCGATGTTTTTTAAATGTAAGAAATAAAATTTTATAAAAGATGATTATAATTGTAAAAATTAAGGAAGGTGCCCAAATTTTTTTTTTGGAAAAATTGATTTGTATCAAGTCCAAAGAAACAACAAGATACTATAAAAGACGAGAGTATCTTGGAAAAATAGATACTCAATTTCGTATATCTCAAGCTATTCAAAGAAAAGAATTAACTGAATCAATTCTATCTATACTCTTTCCTGCAATCTAAGTCTAATGATTTGACCAATGAAATTGAAAATCGAATCACCCTTCTTGTTAATTTTCCCAAAAAGCCTCGTATACCTCTCTTCCCATATGAAATAGATGAAAGCACCCAAAACAAGTTTGATGATGGAAGTAATAAGGACTTACCACTTAAATATCTAACAGTCAAATCTACCTCTTTATCCCATTTAAACATTGTCCTCCCTAGACCACGTTTGGTAAGAACACATTATCAAATACACCATGAGAATGGACACTCAAAAGGAGATATGATCTTTGATTTTTGCAACAACTCTACACAATAAACATACACTGTCAACCTCCATACCCATGCGCAACAACCTATCTCTTGTTGCAAGCTTCCCCAAGACAGCTAACCAAGTTATAACAACATACTTTGGCACATGAAAGGGGAACTAGACCAGCTTATACCATAAGACCTTCTCATTTTGGGTCAGGATATATGACCAAATCAATCGCGTGCTCAAAGGCTTAGCACCAACAGTATCAACTAAAAGGGATTGAGCTTCTCTACACAGCGATAGGATCTTTCTCAAACACCAGCTCATAGAATTCATGAAATTCAATCTCAAAAAATCCCACCCTTGTTAAAAGTTAGTTCAAAGTTTGGCAACCAACTATGAAAAATGTTTTTCAAAGTTTGGTAAATGTTTCTTTGAAAAAATGTTTTTTAAAGTTTGGTAGATGTTTGTTGAAAATAAGAATGGGTAAATTCACTTTAGTCATTTCACTTTAGGGTATTTTCAAAGATTAGTCCCTAAGTTTCAACTATAAATACCCTAGCTCATTTAGCTTTAAAATCATCCCAAATCCCAAATCCCAAATCATTTCTTTCTCCTAATACTAGAGAGTTTCTTGTGAGTAGTGAGTGTTTTGTAAACACCTGTAAATTTTCTCTCTTAGTAAAAGATCTGCAGCAGTCCGGAGACGTAAGCACAATTGGCTGAACTCCGTTATCAATTTTTGGGTATTATTTCTCTGCTTTTATTTCGCATTCTTACTAATCTGGTTATAAGGAAATTACTTGTACTCGGTTATTTCCCAACAACTGGTAATCATAGCTTTTGGTTGTGAATTTTGTCAATTTTTTGCGAGGTTACTATTCACTTGAATAGTGAATTTTGTGAATAGTAAAATTTTGTCGGCGATACGAATTTGTCGACGAAGGTGTTCTAATACACGGTGGTTCGCAAGAATTTTCAAAAACGATCCAAACGAAGCCAGATTCGAGTGGGAGCGATGGCTGCAGACTAAGGGAATGTGAAAATTTAAAAGTTCGATGGTGCGGACTTTGGCTTTTGGAAGATGCAGATTGAAGATTTTCTGTACCAGAAAAATCTATATCAACCTCTCTCAGGAAAACAACCAGAGGGCATGAAGAATGAAGATTGGGCTCTTCTCGACAGACAAGCCCTCGGAGTTATCTGACTGACGTTGTCCCGTAATGTTGCTTTCAACATAGCAAAGGAAAAGACCACGGCGGGTCTTATGGCAGCTCTCTCCAGTATGTATGAGAAGCCATCGACCTCAAACAAAGTTCATTTGATGAGGCGATTGTTCAATTTGAGGATAGCAGAAGGGGCATCACTAACTCAACACCTAAATGAACTCAACACAATCACAACCCAGTTGAGTTCCGTGGAAATTGAATTCGATGATGAAGTTCAAGCTTTAATTCTCTTATCATCTCTACCAGACAGTTGGAATGCTACTGTTACAACAGTCAGCAGCTCATCGGGAAATAGCAAATTAAACTTTGACGATGTTCGGGATCCGGTATTGAGTGAAGAAATTCGACGGAGAGAATCGGATGAAGCATCAACCTCCTCAGCCTTGCACACGGAGTCCAGAGGGAGAACTTCAGAAAGAAATTCAAATCGTGGCAGATCAAAATCCAAACAGGGAAAATCAAGAACGGGAAAGAAAGATTTTACATGTTATAATTGTGGCAAGAAGCGTCACTTTAAAAGGGATTTCCGAGCACTGAAGAAAGATATCGGCGCACAAGAATCGAAAAACATGACAGAGGAGACAGGTGATGCCATGATTCTAAGCGTCAATAGTTCGATTGAATCATGGATCTTGGATTCAGGGCATCTTTCCACTCAACCCCATGCCAAGAAATCATGGAGAATTATGTCAGTGGTGATTTTGGGAAGGTTCATCTAGCTGATGATGAAACATTGAAGATCATCGGAAAAGGAGACATACGACTAAAGCTGCCAAACCAGACCACCTAGAATGACAGGAGTGAGACATATTCCTGGCCTCAAAAGAAATCTGATTTCTGTAGGACAGCTTGATAGAGAAGGTTATAGTACAACCTTTTCAGGCTGTGAATGGAAGATCACCAAATGAGCACTCGTCATTGCTCGTGATAAGAAGACTGGTATTCTCTATATAACCTCAAACTTAGAGAATATCATTGATGCAGGAGATGCTGATGAAAAATCAAACTTATGGCACCAAAGGCTTGGTCATATGAGCGAGAAACGGATGAAGACACTTTTGTCAAAAGGAAAGCTGCCGGATCTAAAGAATGTAGATGTCGGACTATGCGAGGATTGCATCTTTGGCAAACAAAATAAAGTCAGCTTTGCAAAGATTGGCAAGACACCCAAGGCAGAAAGGTTAGAGTTGGTTCATACTGATGTATGGGGACCATCTCCAGTTCCATCTCTTGTAGGCTCATTATATTATGTCACTTTCATCGATGATTCAACAAGGAAGGCGTGGGTTTATTTTCTGAAGAAGAAATCAGAAGTCTTTGATACCTTCAGAAAATGGAAGGCCATGGTGGAAAATGAGACAAGTTTGAAAGTCAAGCGGCTGAGGTCTGACAATGGAGGAGAGTACAAAAACAGAAGATTCAGAGATTTCTGCGCAAACAATGGGATTAAGATGGAGACAACAGTTCCCATGACACCGCAACATAATGGCGTAGCAGAGCGCATGAACAGAACTCTGAATGAACGTGCCAGAAGCATGAGGATACATGTCGGATTGCCCAAATTTCTATGGGCTGAAGCTATCAACACTGCAACTTACTTGATCAACCGTGGGCCCTCAGTTCCTTTGGATGACAGAATACCAGAGGAAGTTTGGAGCAAGAAAGAAATAAACCTTTCACACTTAAGATTGTTTGGTTGTATTTCTTAGGTACACATAGATTCTACTGAAAGAAGTAAACTTGATGCCAAGTCCAACAAATGCATCTTTGTTGGTTATGGTGGTGATGAGTTCGGTTACTGATTTTGGGACTACGAAAATCGAAAGATCATCAGAAGAAGAGATGTATTTTCAATGAGAATTTGATGTACAAAGACAGGTCAACTGTAGAATCAATGAGCTCCAATACCGAAGCTGAAACAAAGGAATTTGCTGAGTTCGAGGAGATTTCTAGAAATGATGTTCATATCAATCCTGAAGCAGTTCAAGAAGAACCAGGCACACCAGAACTGAGACGCTCCTCCAGAATTCCTAAACCAACCCAACGATATTCTCCTTCTTTGCACTACTTATTGCTGACTGAAAATGGTGAACCAGAGTGCTATGATGAAGTAATGCAAGTGGAGGATTCAGTCAAGTGGGAGTCTTCCATGAAAGATGAGATGGACTTGCTTATGTCAAATCAGGCGTGAGAATTAGCTGAATTACCACCAGGCAAGAAAGCGCTCCACAACAAGTGGATTTACAGGATCAAGGAAGAGCACGATGGGAGCAAACGCTACAAAGCGAGATTGGTTGTCAAAGGTTTTCAACAAAAAGAAGGTATTGACTACAATGAAATTTTCTCTCCAGTCGTGAAGCTGTTTACGATCAGACTAGTATTGAAAATTGTAGCTGCAGAGAATTTACATCTTGAGCAGTTAGATGTAAAGACAGCTTTCCTTCATGGTGATTTGGAGGAAGAAATCTATATGAGGCAGCCAAAAGGCTTTATAGAGGCAGGCAAGAAAAACCTGGTATGCATGTTGAAGAAGAGCTTGTATGGTTTAAAACAAGCTCCAAGACAGTGGTACAAGAAGTTTGATAGCTTCATGGGTAGCAGTGGTTTTACCAGATGCCAAGCAGATCATTGTTGCTACATCAAGAGGTTCGACAATAGCTTCATTATTTTATTGTTGTACGTTGATGACATGCTCGTTGCAGGCTTAAACATGCAAGAGATTATACACTTGAAGCAAAAATTGTCGACGCAGTTTGTTATTAAGGATCTGGGCGCTGCAAAGCAGATTCTTGGGATGAGGATCAAGAGAGACATAAAGTCAGGGACTTTGATGTTATCACAGGCTGAGTACATCAACAAAGTACTCTCCAGGTTCAACATGCAAGATGCTAAATCAGTAAGTACACCTTTAGGTGTTCATTTTAGACTCTCCAAAGAACAGTCACCAAAGACGGAGGAAGAACGTGCACACATGGTGAAGGTGACATATGCCTCAGTAATTGGAAGTCTAATGTATGTCATGGTTTGTACCAGACCAGATATTGCTCAAGCAGTGGGAGCTGTTAGCAGGTACATGAATAATCCGGGCAAGGTACACTGGGAAGCAGTCAAATGGATCCTCAGATATCTGCGGGGTACTACAAACAAAGAACTTTGTTTCAAAGGTGGAGATACGATACTGACAGGCTATGTAGATGCTGACTTAGCCGGAAATATTGACATCAGAAGGAGCACTACAGGGTATGTCTATACTCTAGGAAGAACTGCAGTGAGTTGGGTTTCTCAACTACAGAAGATAGTTGCTCTCTCCACAACTGAAGCAGAATATGTCGCTATTACGGAAGCTAGAAAGGAGATGGTTTAGCTCCAAAGTTTCTTGGAAGAGTTAGGCAAGAAACAAGAAAACAATGTCTTGTATTGCGACAGTCAAAGTGCTATCCATCTAGCAAATAATCCTTCTTTTCATTCCAGGACGAAGCACATACAATTGAGATATCATGTTGACAAAGACGGTGACTACGGACAAACTGAAGTTGTGTTCAGCTTCAGTTGGCATGCTAGAATAACAAGACTAGAAATACTGGTGCATTGATCGAGGTGTGAAGACAGATTAAAATCAGTCTTTAAGTGGGCGATTGTTAAAAGTTAGTTCAAAGTTTGGCAACCAACTTTGAAAAATGTTTTTCAAAGTTTGGTAAATGTTTCTTTGAAAAAATGTTTTTCAAAGTTTGGTAGATGTTTGTTGAAAATAGAATGGGTAAATTCACTTTATTCATTGCACTTTAGGGTATTTTCAAAGATTAGTCCCTAAGTTTCAACTATAAATACCCTAGCTCATTTAGCTTCAAGATCATCCCAAATCATTTCTTTCTCCCAATACTATAGAGTTTCTTGTGAGTAGTGAGTGTTTTGTAAACACCTGTAAATTTTCTCTCTTAGTAAAAGATCTGTAGTAGTCTGGAGACGTAAGCACGATTGGCTGAACTCCGTTATCAATTTTTGGGTATTATTTTTCCGCTTTTATTTCGCATTCTTACTAATCTGGTTATAGGGAAATTACTTGTACTCGGTTTATTTCCCAACAACCCTTAATATCAAATTGAAGGTGTCCAAAACTCACTAATTCTACCTTTATATAGATTATAAATGAAAGTGACGTCGTAAAAAAAAATTGATTCGTGTGTTAATCAAATGGGCTAATAACTAATACCCATTAGAAGTAATCTCACCTTTCCCTATGGCCCAAAAGATGAAAAATGTACAAAATTCAGGGGGGGGGGGAAGAATCATAATGTTGCAATGGGTAGAAAGAGAATCATAATGTTGCAGACACAACCCAATGAAAGACAGATCCAAAGTAAGACATCATGTGTTGGGGAGGATGTAATCCTAACAATGATACTAATGTTGAGAAAATGGGTCCATCAGGATCCCCAAATTTTCAACATCCATCGTGGCCTAATGCAAATGCAGGTGAACGGCACCCGAAATGTTACATCACATTTCAACAACATAGTGAGACATATGAACAGCACAAGAAACAACCCAAATTTATGGTGCTTCTTATAATCGTTACCGTATTTATTGATGTAACGGATGTTATTTTTAAAGTTTAAAACTTTGGAAAGAAATGAAGTGCTTTTTTACCGTTCAAAACTACTTTCTAAAAGAAGGATAAAACTTCTATCATCATGTGATAGGACCCCCTTTCATTTCGTTTCAAGGTGTGTTTCAACTTTTAAACAAAGACCCAATATTTTAAATTTGTACATGACTGGTTTTATTGTTCATATTTTGCAACAATCGTCGCTTACTGGGATCATCATTAAAATGCAGTGACCACCAAAACCAGTTAAATGTTCCCTTTCCATCCATTGTCCCACCATTTCCCTTTCCCACCAAATATTGGCTTAATCAGCCCAGAAACTGAAAGAAACAAGAAAATGGAGAAAACTGGTATGTCATTTCAGGTTCTTCAAATCTGGAAATTGTTACATGTTTTGATATGAACAGCTTACCTTTCAAATGTAACATAATTCTTAAACTGCAGAAATACAAGATCAAAACACACCCAAACATAGGGTTACTTTCAATTTCTTCATAATTGCACATCACCTTTACAAGTGAACCTACTCTACTACTGCTCATCATGGCTAACAATCAAACAACAATCCTAGCCTCTCTAAATTCCATTTTTTTCCCCTTTCATATTTCTTTTTTTTTACATTATCATGATAATGATAACAAAAGACAAAGTCCCTATCCAAAGTTTCCTTTCTATGGAGCTGATCACAACATTTTGTTTCCTTGATTTACTAGTAATTCAGTTGCCGGATATTCTTGCAGAATCCATCAGTTTCTCGTATAAAGAATTGCATGTTGCTCTTGACAGAAGAGAAGAATCTGAAGGGAAAAAAAAGTTTAGTAAGCAAGTTAAGAATTCCAACACTTAATTTAGTGTAAATACTGGTTATAAATTTAAGATACCTGTAGAAGATGCGTTGCTTAGTTTCTCCTGTGAAGAATCACTTGTACATCTTGACAACCTTGAAGATTCTGCTGCACCAAAACAAGGAAAAGCTAAGGATCCAATTCCAGATTAATCTAAAACAGACTTAATTGACAGTAATTAGTACCTCTTGATGAATTCAAAGATCTCTTGCAATGCAAAATGGCGCTTTGGATCCCATCGTGTTGCAGTAGCAGAGAATCATCTCTTCTACTAACGGGAGATGAGAATGCAGCCGAGGTTGATCTGCACTTTCCCAATTGCTTGCAAACCCCTGCTTGTTTCTCCTTCGCTGAAAAAACCGATGCCGGAGAACTCACCGGAGATGACACCGACAAGTCAATTGAGACTTTTATCTTATCATTTGGACCGTTCTTTCTGGAGGCTTTTACGTACAGCGGCTTTAATTTATTCAAGTATTTCTGCATCAGACCCTTCAACAATCTCTTTGAGGAATCGTCTGATGTTGTGGGTTCCGTAGGAAGACCGATCAACCCAGCTTTGTCGGGCATGTATGTGGTACTGGTATTTGCCACTGACTTGGACTTCCTCAAAGTAAAGACTCGAAATTTCGGGGTTGATTTTAACGAAGCCATCGGAGATTGTGGCTTGGAGCTTGCCTCAATGGGGATTATCTTTCTCTTGGAGAAGTTATCACCGGTAGACAAAGTACGAGTTTGGTCTTCCTTGGACTCAAATCTTTTCTCGCCATTAACACCGTGCAAACGAAGCTCCAAATCGAAGAAAGAGTCATCGCCTTCATCCAACTCATGATCTGAAGCGATCACGGCCTTTGGAACCTCGGTGGTGCTGATGTTACCACGACGCGGTTGAACTCGGTTATCTCTGTAACCGCCATTGCTTGGTTTCCAGAAACTTGTGAAATTGAGAGCTTCCATGGCTAAGGAAGGAGATAAAGAAACAATCTTTAACAGAAGTTGAAGATGGTGAGTGAAATTAAGGTTTATAAGTTCAGATTCCGAGAGGACTTGCTTTTGAACGGTGTATATATTGTAGGTATGGTTGTTTTTACTTGAAAAGGAATGCTTACGGGAGTGAAAGAGAGACAACATTCGCAAAAAAAAAGTTGATAAATTTTCAAATTTCAGAGTTTTAGCCATCGACTGAGCAGCCCAAGGACTTGTCTGTTACATTTTTTTCAACCCAACGCGCATTCCCGGTCACTACATATGTCTAAGTTACAGCAACCTTAATATATATTTAAGAAAATATATTATCAGAAATATTATAATATTTTTAATATTTTTAGTAAAATAATTTCTAAAACATTATTTTTTTACAAAAATATTAGAGCGCTATTTAAAATATTTAACATTTTCGGTAAAGCGCTACTTAAAATATTATTTTTCTACAGAAAATGTTAATATTTGATTCTGTAGGAAATTAGTTAGCAAAAATAACATTCCGATAAAAAAATAATGTTTTAGGTAGTATTTTACTGAGAATATTAAAAAATAATAACATTTTCGGTATGACATTTCCATAGTCGTATATTAAAATTATTGTGCAACAGAACTACCTCATCACCACCCTTCTTTCTCATTTCTATCTTTCATCTCCATTCGACTAGTAGTTCTAATGTGTAATGGTCTAATTTAAGATTAAAAATAATGATTTTAGGACATAATCAAAATATAATAAAAATCATAATATTTTAAGTTAAGCGGAACTTAAAAAATTATATTTTTACGAATATTTTCGGTTGAATCTAAAATATTATGAAAAAAAACATTTTAAATTATGTTTAACCTAAAATATTATGATCTTTATCATATTTTCTGTTACATCCTAAAATTGTTGTTTTCAACCTTAAATTAGGATGTCAATGCTTAGACCTTTTTAGACGAATAATGAAGAATGTAAATGGTGGAGAAACATTTAATAATTTATTGTGATTGAAGACAAATTTTAATAAAAAAATATTATTTAATAAAACTCATCGTTCTAATAAAATAAGTTTTTTTTAAATTGACTAAAATAATATTATTTTAAATAATTTATCTAACATCGAAGAATTGCATTAGATAATAATTTTCACTGAAACTCGTTTTCACCACAAATTCATATAACAATCAAAATGAAATATTGTAAAAAGATTCTGCCAAACTATATTTTTCCTAATTTTGTTCTCATGCATTATTCTTTTAAAAAAGCTAAAAAATAATTTAAAAATAAAAATAATTTGTTTTAAAATTCAGGCCTAATCTACTCATTCAAGCAATTGAATCACCGGAGCCTAATCCAACTTGTGTACACCTGAAAACTAAATTATATTTAGTTTTTCTTAATAAAAAAAGTTATAAATTTACTAGTGTTACCTCTTTTAAAAAGGATACAGTACATGTTTAGTACATCAACTACTATTTTTATTTCATTTTAGTCACCAAATTATATTTTGTTTTCAAATCATAACTAATGTTAAAAAAAATTCATTTTGGTCACCCATCGTTAAAAAGTAACAAAACTAATGATGTGACATTATATTACGACAACATGTTAGCTTCATTGTTAATTTTTTTAACCATAGATGATCAAAATGTAGAATTATTTATAATTTTGAAAAAAAATAGTTGATGATCAAAACGAAATAAAAATGATAGTTGGGATTCTAAACCTATAGTAGTTTTGTTTAATGATTTCATTAGACGTCACGTTAGGCATATTATTCCAACCAAAAAATTATTAAATCTGGGTTTACTTGAATAAGAAAATTCAAATGGGAAATTGTGAGGAGGATGGGTTGCATTGTTGGAAGTCGTTTTCTATGTTTGAGATTCACTATTTATCAAATTCTCAAATCTTGTTTCAACATTTGCCCATTTTCACCAATTTTAAGCACAACAGACGTTCTGATTCAGAAATATTTTTTAAGATGAACACATATGTATTAGTAATAGAATTTTTCGTATGAAATATACACAAATAAAATTTTAAGATGGACACATTTAATAAAACGAATAACGAACATAAAAGAATTTAAATTTGAAGATGGATATGTGTCCAACCAAAATAATACATTCGTCCGTCACTGATCATACACCTTCAAACTTAATTTGCCAAATACTTAATTGAATTCTTGAAGTTAAAGAACAAAATTCATGTTGACAATTATCAAACTCTCACGTCATGCAGATGTAGATATGACGAAATATTGATATTAATAATAAACCATTGATTATCTGTTTTTTCTTTTAAAAATACTTTGTATTTATGAATTTCAGCCAAGCTCGTCAATCTTATCAATGATAATAATTAATACTTAAATTATTTTTGAAAAGTAATTTAAAATTTGATAAAAAATTATTTAAAAATATTTTTTGAAAAATATAATTTAAAATATAATTATTTGTAATTATAGTTAAAAAATGATTTTGAAAAGATAAAAAGTTAAATTTTGAATATTATTGTAAATTAAAAATATAATATTTAAATTATATTTAAACTTATTAATACTATATATTTGAAATATATCAACTTAAACTATAATAAATATATAAAAAAATGTTAACTCATTAATAATATTTTCATATATGAAATATTTTATTAAAAAAACTGTTTATCAATATTTTAGGCATCTTGACTTCAAATTATTACAAAATAATAATTTAAATACTTATTTTGACTATACATATATATGCACATAAAGTAAAAAAGTCTTCTAAGTTCTATCAATTTACCTCTAAAAATCAATTAAACATTAATAAATAATTATGCATGTATGTGTATTAATTTTTTAATTAAAATTAAATAATTAAATATTAAAATATAATTTCATCCTAGAAGTGAATTTTCATAACAAAAACTAAAAATTTAAGTTTTTTAAGGTTATGTTGAAAATCATTTTTTCAACAATGATTTTAAACCAATTTTTGGGTGTTTGGAACTGTTTATGGGATGGAAAATCATTTTTTTAATACTAGAAACATTCACAAACTGGCCCTTTGTGATTGTTTTAGATGATTTATCCCTTTTAATTTATACTAAAAATCATAATCAATGATCTTTGATTAGAAGATTGGTTGATGTTCAAATTATTTGTCTCCGCGTGGAGAGTGAGGAGAAATAATTTGAGATGATAATTCTTCACACCCCTTCAATTAGTCCTGACTAGGAGATTTTATAGTGACTCTTATTGTTGATGTCAAATGTAGAGTCATAATGACCACTCGTAAGTTGACAGACCCAATAAATACAACCAAATGACAGTATATTTAGTTCTAATTATATATATGTACTTATAAAAATTACGTCAAAGGATTGTAACTTTTCAAGAGGTGTGAGCTGCTGAGACAATATGTCAAAAATGTTCTCCTAGGCCTCAACTAGGAATGAGCTATTTAAAAATCTTAATTATACATAGAACGATCTTACATAGAAAATCTGAAAATGGTACAACAACCATGATCAATGAATTTTGTTCCAAGAGTTTCAACTTCATTTCCAATTTTTATCCCACATGTTTTAGATTAAAACCATTCCAAATCTATGATTTAGAGTCATGCATGTGCCAATGAAACCCCAGCAGAGTTTCTTGGTGGCGCGTGAAAAGATAAATGAACTGAATTCAAATGTGTTTTCTTACAGTGGAGGAGTTGTTGCAGAAAACAATTACGAGGGTGACGAGAAACTACCAAAAAGAGAGAATAAATGGTAAAGAAAAGGAAAACGTAACGTAACGTAACGTAAGCAAGGAGATAGTACTTTACTCTCCTCCTGCACATGGTCTTAAAGGACCTTTGCAGGGGTCAGACATTAAGTTGGTTTACAAGGCAAAGGGCAGTGGGCACACTTGTAATGCCTTTAGCCATTGAAGGGTTCAAATTCAAGTCTTACCCCAAAAGGTTTGACTTGCTGAGATAGGTATTGGATGCCATGGATAAACCTCTTTTGAATGCTTTTTTACAGTGAAAGTCTTGATGAAAAGAGAACCCAATACCCCCAAAGAAACAAAAGTGACATCTACCTTATTAGCTTTGGATATAAAGTAGTTTTAAAAAAAACAAAGTAACACGTTTAGCATTTCTTTTTTCCAGCTATCTTGGATGGTATCCTAGGTACTCAATATTTTTGTATTGTTTTTTTAAATATATAAAAAATCTAATAATATTATATATAACTTAATATAAACATTAATTAACGATTCAAACGCGTGCGCTGTAATGTTGAATATGTTCTTCACCAGAGCCTCTTCTTGGCCAACCATTCTCCCCAACCGTCGAGAACACCTTCTGCAAGGAGCGACACCGATGCAAAAACAATTCAATGGCCCCCTCCTACGGATTGAATCTGTGTCAACACAGATGGCACGGTTGACATGATGGGAAAAGTCTCAACTGGTGGTGCGATCCGATACCACCTTGGAAATTTCCTCACAGGCTTTAACAAGAACATCGATATTACTTCTGTCATTATGGCTAAACTTTGGTGGTGCTTTAAAAGGGCTTAAACTTGCTTTGGACCTGTGGCTTTGAGAAAATTCAACTACAAGTAGACAGCTCAGATGCTTTCCACCTCATTGAAAATGCATCCTCTGACAGCCCCTATGTTATAGTTCGATATATTACGATTTTGCTCAATCGAGTTTGGTGTATATTAGCAGTATAAAGCAAGTCCTGCTTGCCATGATGAACTTGGCATGCTGGCAGTAGCCGTTTAGAGGAAGTTAGGCAGTTAGGAAGCTGTTGAGCTTGTTGTTAAGAGTTTTATTCTATTGAGTTACTTGTGTTATATATAAACATAGTTCTTGTACTGTAATCGATGAATCAATAATCACTTTCTATTTTCTTTACTCACTTCCTAATATGGTATCATTCACCATTGATCTTGGGGTTTCAACCTTTTAATGGCGATCATCACATCTATAAGGGAAACTCTATCTTTAGACAACTCCACTATGTTAATTGATGCAGAAACGCAATTAGCCAGCTTTGAGTGCGAATGTTGCACAAGGTGAAGTAAGAAATACTTCTAACAGTTCTAATCAATGATCTGGTTAC